GTCCAAGATATTTAAAATGTGTTTATATAAAGCTCAGGCGGTGTGTGTGTGTGGTGTGTGTGTGTGTGTGTGTGTACTATACTATAAAGTCAGTCATAGGAACTGTCCGTGGTAATGTGTAACAGGACTTAAACATTTCACTTGTAAGACAGCATCAAACTTATGATATATTTTACCAAAGTCTAGTGAATATCCACTCTTAAGTTGATTTCCGTGAGAGAAAATTTTTGCACCTTCTAAAATTAATGTAAACTTACGAGGGTCTCAAATGAGCTGTTGTTAATGGCGTAAATCATTTTTTATTGCAAACAACATGAACCGACCAAACATTTCGATCTTTTAATCCTGTAAAGTTAGGTGTGGTTGGTGCGTGTTACATGATTTATGCCTGTAGCCCATATACCCCCACTCCAGCATTAATGTTTGTTCCTAATGATCGCTACGTTACCTACAGAGAATTTCTTCGATTTTCGTAAAATTACACTCGTTCTGAACTGTTATATATTTCTGCTCTCGGAAATCAACTTTATTTTTCTTATGGATTATTGATAATTGTATACGAAAAGTTTCGCACCTAAACTAATCATATTATGACTTGTATAGGTTGTACGTTAAATCGGGCACAATACAAATCAGCAGCAGGTGTGTATTGTAAGACGTGCTCCTTGGCTCCTGTGAATGAAAACAAAACTGGCAATGAATCACGTCTGAATTTTGTAGGAACGGAGCTCGCAGTGTTATACTCTATTTTGGCAGTTCTCGGTGGGTCCTTTCTGCCAACATGTTATTTTGCTTCCAATCCCAGGTTTCCTCGTACGTAAGTCAACCTGAATTAATCTTACCCTAAAAGAACGTAAACTATTTTGAGGCTCATCCACTGTAACCCTTCTGTTTCAAAGGTACCCAGAACATACACAGCGAATTCACGCAGTCCAAAATGACAGGCATAACGTCGACAGTCCCCCAAAAGTCCCCTTGTTATGGTTTTATTGATGGGTCTATAATCCCCATCTTAAATTCATTAGTTATAATTATCATTATATTTTGGTAGGCGTTTAGCTGTAAAGGAATTTATAAAAATGTTTGCTGTCATGAGCAATGGTTTTCAAGTTTGTTCAACTGGGCTTTGTAGTTTAGGTTAAATAACGTAGTGTTCTGCTGACAAGATAATATCCGGGTGCAAGGAAGGAAATTATAGGCCTACTTCTTATCTTGTCTTAACTCTATCATTAACTAATTTTCAGGAGCAGTCATTCTTGATATCTTGCCTCGCCTGTCAGTAGAGTTCCATATGCAGTAACATAATTAAGAAAGTGAAGGGTGTGAATTGAATTTTAAGATTCAAAGGAAAACATGAAAAGATGTTCAGGGTGCTGGTGTTTTCCTTCACTGTTTCATCGGGGACTTCTGATGATCCTCGATGGATATGTTCAGGTCTGATGGTTCATATCTTCTTGTTCTGTGGTGGTTTTTGCCTTCTGGACTGTGGTTCAGTTCAGGGAAGCTGAAACGTCCAATTTCTTCCTGGGAGCTGACGGTTTCTTTGGTTCCCTGGTGGCCTTTTTCGTTGTAGAGCAGTGGTTCTCAACCTGGGGGTCATGGCTCCCAAGGGAGCCACGGCAAGAATTTAGGGGAGCCACGGCGAGCTGTTATAAATTGTACGTTTCCAAATAATGTTGGGAATCTGAATTAAACAAAACTTGTATTACTTATTTTGACTTGGCAGAAGTGAATTTTCAAACTTTTTTTGTCATTTTGTTTAATCATAACGACAATACAATTTTAATATTTACATACTCTGGTACTATTTTTTTGTTTATTTTTTACGGATTATTTAAGATTTAATAGGTCCAGTCCCTGTCTGTGTGACAGGCGCTGGACCGAGCTGCTGAACTGACTTGTTTAGTACGTGTCCGTGTGTCATCCCTTTGCAAGTGGTGATAGTACCGAATGATCTCAGTCTGGCCTGGGATACCATCACGAAAACAGTGGAGTGTATTGTCTCTGAACCATATATTGTGTTTGAGCTTGACTCAAGCATAATATACTCCGTAATTGGTGTTACTTATTTTGTTTCATAATTCATGTGGTCGCTGCTTTACGTGGGTGAAATATTTGTACACTTCCTTTATTAATTATATCCTTATTTATTGGTGCCATTGTTGTTCATACTCATTCTGTACTTACATAATCCTACCATTTTTAGTGCTAAATTGGTATGACTCACTATTCTTCTCATTCTTCCAAGTTGGGCAGTGCTTGTCAAAGGAGGCGTGTTCTTGCTTACAGGAAGTACACTTCAGCTTGCTAGCTTGAGTGTGAATGTTTACCTGTGTGCGTGTTTGTGTATGACTGTATGTGTGCTTTATGTGTGAGTGCATGGGCGTGTTATGTATGTGAATGTGTGTGTGTGTGTGTGTTTGTCATTCTAACTCGTCCTATTTATCTCTCCTTCTTTATCATTCTTTAGTCTTTATCACTTATCTGTTTGTCTGTTCTGACATTCTGTCTTCTATTTTCTCTAGATTTGTGATGGCTACAAGTGTTGCTAAGAAGCGGAAGTACATCGATGGATACATTAACTTCAGATTTACATCAATCCTCGCTGATGGCATTGAGAAACCTCAGTGTGTGCTGTGCTTCAAAGTGCTGGGGAACGATTCTCTGATGCCTAGTAAGCTGTAGCACCATCTGAAGACGATCCATCTACAGTATGCGAAGAGAGACACCGATTTCTTCACGCGCCATCATGAACGGAATTTGGGAAAACGATTCCCAGCATGGCTTCACAAGCTGGCATTCATGTTTAACTAATCTATTAACATTCTTTTCATAATTTTTCGAATCGGTGGACGAGGGGCACAATTATAATGTGGTATATCTCGACTTTAGCAAAGCCTTCGACAGAGTCCCCCACGAAAGACTAATTAGAAAGGTAGAAGCACATGGCATCATAGGTAATATCCTTAAATGGATGAGGGCGTAGTTACAGGACAGGAAACAGCGAGTGAGCATTAACGACACTAAATCCCATTGGAGCAACGTCACTAGTGGAGTTCCCCAAGGCTCAGTACTTGGACCATTATTATTTATTATATAGATATCGGCATAGACAGCAACATAAGTAAATTTGCTGATGACACTAAAATAGGACGTGTTATTAAATATGACGAGGACTCCGCAAAACTACAGGAGGATCTAAGCAAATTTTTCGAATGGTCTGAAAAAATGGCAGATGAAATTCAACGTGGACAAATGTAAAGTATTCAGTATAGGAGATGTAAACAGGGAAACCAGTTACCAGATGAACAACGATGCCAGTGAGAAATCCGACTGTGAGAGAGATTTAGGCGTAATGATAAGCAGGAACCTTAAGCCAAGTAAACAATGTGTTTTTGCTCGTAACAAGGCTAATAAAGTACTTGGGTTCATACAAAGGAGTGTTAGTTACAAGACTAGCGAGGTCATCTTACGATTATATCTTGCGCTTGTGAGACCTCACCTGGACTACGCAGTTCAGTTCTGGTCACCGTATTACAGAATGGATATAGAGTCCTTGGAAAGAATTCAGAGGAGAATGACAAGACTAATCCCGGGCATTAGGAACCTTGAGTATAGAGACAGGTAAAAGCATCTCAATTTGCACTCTCTCGAGAGATGTAGAGCGAGGGGCTACTTGATAGAGGTGTATAAATGGAAGTCAGGGCTAATCAAAGGGGACATTACAAAGGTACTCAAACTATACAACCAGGAACGAACTCGTAACAATGGTTTTAATTTAGACAAATTTAGATTTAGGCGCGAAATAGGTAAACACTGGTTTGGAAACAGAGTAGTGGATGAATGGAACAAGTTACCAAGTATCATCATTAACTCGAATACGCTGGATAGCTTCAAACATAGGTTGGATGCTTATATGAGCAATAGGGGTTGGGTGTAAATGGGACTGCCCAGTATGGGCCAATAGGCCCGCTGCAGTTTCCACCATTCTTATGTTTTATGTTCTTATGCTCTTAAAACAGAAACTGGACGAGAGTGGTGCTTTCCAACAACAGACCGTAAGTGTAGTTGAGGCATCATACGAGGTTTCCCTCGAAATAGCAAAGCAAAAGAAGCCCCATACAATTGGTGAAACTTTAATTAAGCCATGTGCTTTAAAAATGGTCAAACGGGTTCTTGGAGAGGCAAGTGAATGTAAAATTCAACAAATTTCCTTGTCAAACGATACAGTGAAACGGAGAATTAATGAAGTGTCAGATGACATAAAGGAAAAAGTGATACAGGAGATCAAATTATCTCCAACTGGTATGTTTGCAATATAGCTGGATGAGTCAACGGACGTGAGTTCTTGTGCACAGCTACTCGTGTTTGTTAGGTATGTTTTCTTGTGTGACATCAAGCAGGAATATCTGTTCTGTACACAGCTTGAGACCACCACAACAGCTGTAGATGTGATGGGAAAGCTGCCTTCTTTCTTCACAGCTAACAGGATCAGCTGGGAAAATTGTTGTGGAGTCTGTATGGATGGGGCTCCGGCGATGCTGGGATCAAAATCGGGGATCCAGAAGCGTGTCAAGGAAGTAGCTCCGAATACCAAGGGGATCCATTGTATGATCCATCGTTTGCACTGGCGTCGAAAACCCTCCCTGATGAACTTAGCAAGATCCTGGAGGCAGTGGTCAAATGTGTCAACTTTGTGAAAGCTGGAGATCTGAACTCTCGCTTTTTCCAGAACCTTTGTAGAGACATGGACTCAGAGCATGAAGCCCTCTTTTACTCCCAAAGTGCGCTGGCTTTCCAAGGGCAATGTTGTGAATCGAGTGTTTGAACTTCGGGGAGAGCTTAAGTTGTTCCTGGAAGTGCAAGGGAAAGATGATCTATTAAGTCACTTCAATGAGGTGTTGTGGGAGCCACGTCTTGCATATTTAGCAGATATATTTGAGCAGCTAAACAGGCTGAATCTCAAGCTGTAGGGCAAGGGCAGAAATGTGTTTCACCTCATGGATTGTCTTCGTGCATTTCTTGCCAAGCTCCAGAATTGGCAAAGGAAAGTTAATGCAGGAAATGTTGCCATGTTTAACAATCATTCAACTGTTCTTGATGAGAATGAAGATCATCTGCTTGACCCATCACTCAAAACTGAAATTACTCAGCACCTGAAATCCTTGGAAAGTAAGCTCAAAAAGTATTTCCCAGAATTCGAGGAGGAAGATGGGAAATTGGTGGGAAATCCTTTCTCTGGCACTCTTGATATTGCTATAATTCCCAATGATGTTCAGGACGAATTTCTTGATCTCAAGAATGATTCTGCTGCCAAAGATCTCTATGAAGAAAGATCTCTGACTGTATTCTGGTGCTCAATGTATCAGTCATATCCTAAAGTCAGCGAGATTGTACTTCGAGTCCTCTTGCCTTTTTCAACTACCTATTTATGCGAATCTGGTTTCTCCACCCTTCTACATATAAAGAGTAAAAGCCGGAACCGACTGGATGTGGACCCGGACATGAGATGTGCATTGTCAGTGACACAACCTCGGATCAGTCGCCTGACTGAAAGGAAACAATGTCAGCCTTCCCATTGAGCTGTGACAAAATATTCAGAGGTCATATGAACTTTTTCCCAACCAAATTCAAGTTTGCTGTGAGGCTTGTCTAGTAGTCACTCTAGTCTAGTGACGTCAGTTATGTAAATCATGTAAGTCTATCAAAATATAAGATAATGATGATTGTCAACTATGAAATAAAATAGGGTATTCTCTTCATCTGCATCTTATTTTTCAACATTATTTATGGGGGGGTTTGGGAGAAAATTGAAGGAGGCCACGAGGATGTTGAAAATTCCTCAAGGGGGGAATGGAGTGAAAAAGGTTGAGAACCATTGGTGTAGAGTGTACCTCGGCTGTCACTCGTGTGGGGGCCGGCATGGCGTCCTCCACTGAGGTGGCTGGACCTGTGGCGACTTGCCCGAGGACAGCTCCCCATGAATATTTGGAGCTGTGTAGGCTGGATTATCGACTTTGGGGAAAATATTATCTAATTTTGCGAAGTAGATTATCATAGAAAACAGGAAATTTGTATCACAGAAAATGGGAAATATCTACTTTCTGGGAAAGTTGACTATCTACTTATCATAGAAAACTGGAAATTCGTATCATAGAAAATGGGAAATATCTACTTTCCGGGAAAGTTGGTTATCTACTTTCCCAAAAATTAGATTATCTACTTTTCGGGAAAGTAGATTATCGACTTTTCGAGGAAGTAGATAATCTACTTTTCGGGAAAGTAGATAACCAACTTTCCCGGAAAGTAGATAACCAACTTTCCCGGAAAGTAGATATTTCCCATTTTCTATGATACAACTTTCCCGTTTTCTATGATAATCTACTTCGGAAAATTAGGTAATATTTCTCAAAATGTCGATAATCTACTTAGAAATTTTCAGAAATTTTCCAAAATTGTTCAAAAAATTTATAAAATTTCCCAATATTTTAAAAAAAAATTGTAAAATTTCCCCAAAAATTTCAATTTTTTTTCAAATTCTCAGAAAATTTTCTGCCCAAGGAAACGGAGTGATATCCCTCCAGAAAACGGTAGGATTCTGCGTCAGCAGACGGTAAATTCTGTCCCCAAAGACGGTAAGATTCTGACCCAGGAAACAGTCAGATACCGCAAACAATACGGTAGCATTCCGCTTCAGAATACGGTAGAATTCTGCTCCAGAATACTGTAGGATTCCGCCCACAAAGATGGTAGGAATCTGCCCCAGAGGACAGTAGGTTATTGCCACAGAATACGGTAGGATCCCGCCCCAGAAAATGGTAGGGTTCTGCCCCAGAATAGGGTAGCATTCCTCCCCAGAATAGGGTAGAATTCAGCCCCAGAAAAGGGTAGCATTCTGCCCCAGAATAGGATAGGATTCCACTCAAAATACGGTAGTATTCCTCCCCAGGAGACGGTAGGACTCCGCCTCAGAATAAGGTTGGATTCCATCCCAGAATAGGGTAGGATTCCGCCCAAAATACGGTAGGATTCTGCCCCAGGAGACGGTAGGATTCCGCCTCAGAATAAGGTAAGATTCCGTCCCAGAATAGGGTAGGATTGTGCCCCAGAATACGCTAGGATTGTGCCCCAGAATAGGGTAGGATTCCGCCGTCGTTGATGGTAGGAATCTGCCGCAGAAGACGGTAGGATTCTGCCCCAGAATACGGTAGTATCCCACCCCAAAAGAAGGTAGGGTTCTGCCCCAGAATAGAGTAGGATTCCGCCCCAGAATAGGGTAGGATTCCGCCCCAGAATAGGATTGGATACCACCCAAAATACGGTAGGATTCTGCCCCAGGAGATGGTAGTTTGACTTCAGAATGAGGTAGGATTCCGTCCCAGAATAGGGTAAGATTCCGCCCCAGAATGCACTAGGATTCTGCCCAAGGAGACGGTAGGATATCGCTCCAGAAAACGGTTGGATTCTGGGCCAGCAGACGGTAGGATTCTGCCCTAGAAGATGGTAGGATACCGCCCCAGAATAGGGTAGGATTCCCCTTTCGAGAATAGGGTAGGATTCCGCCCGAGAATAGGATAGGATTCCGCCCCAAATACGGTAGGATTCTGCCCCAAGAGACGGTAGGATTCCGCCTCAGAATAAGGTAGGATTCCGTCCCAGAATAGGGTAGGATTCCGCCCAAGAATACGCTTGGATTCTGCCCAAGGAGACCGTAGGATATCGCTCCAGAAAATGGTAGGATTCTGGGCCAGCAGACGGTAGGATTTTGCCCTAGAAGATGTTAGGAATCCCCCCCAGAAGATGGTAGGATTCTGCCCCAGAATACAGTAGGATCCCGCCCCAGAAGATGGTAGGGTTCTGCCTCAAAATACAGTAGCATTCTGCCCCAGTAAACGATAGGATTCCGCCTCAGAATAATGTAGGATTCCACCTCAGAAGACGGTAGCATTCTGCCCCAGAATACGGTAGGATTCTGCTTCAGAAAACGGTAGGATTTTGCGCCAGAACAATGTAGGATTTCGCTCTAGAAGATGTTATGATTTCGCCCAAAACAAGAGCAGGATTTCACCCCCTAAAATGGTAGGATTTAGCCCCAGAAGACAGTAGGATTCCGCCCCAGAAGATGGTAGGATTTCGTCCCCAAAGACGGTAGAATTCCAGCAGAGAAAACGGTATGAATCCACCCAAGAAGACAGTAGGATTCCGCCCCAGAAAACGGTAGTAGTTCGTTCCAGAAGACAGTAGGATTATGCCATAGAAGATGGCAGGATTGTGCCCCAGAATACGGTTGGAATCCACCCCAGAAGACGGTAGGATTCTGCACCAGAAGACGGTAGGATTTTGCCCCAGAATACGGTAGGATCCCGCCCCAGAATATGGTAGGATCCGCCCCAGAAGATGGTAGAGTTCTGCCCCAGAATAGGGTAGGATTCTGCCCTAGAAGATGGAAGGAATCCGCCCCAGAAGACGGTAGGATTCTGGCCCAGAATACTGTAGGATCCCGCCCCAGAATACGGAAGAATTTTGCGCCAGAATATGGTAAGATTCCGCCCTCGAAGATGGTAGTTATCTGTCCCCAGAAGATGGTAGGGTTCTGACCCAGAATAGGGTAGCATTCCGCCCCTGAAGAGGGTAGGATTCTGGCCCAGAATAGGGTAGGATTCCGTCCCAGAATAGGGTAGGATTGCACCTCAAAATAGGATAGGATTCCACCCAAAATACGGTAGGATTATGCAATAGGAAACGGTAGGATTCCGCCTCAGAATAAGGTAGGATTCCGTCCCAGAATAGGATAAGATTCCGCCACAGAATAGGATAAGATTCCACCCAAAATACGGAAGGATTCTGTGCCATAGTACGATAGGATTCCACCCTAGAAGATGGAAGGAATCCGCCCCAGAAGATGGTAGGATCCCGCCCCAGAAGATGGTAGGGTTCTGCCCCAAAATAGGGGTGGGATCCTACCGTATTCTGGGGCACAGTCCTACCGTCTTCTCGGGCGGATTTCTACCATCTTCGAGGGCGGTATCCTACCGTATTCTGGCGCAGAATCCTACCGTATTCTGGGGCAGAATTCTACCATATTCTGGAGCGGAATCCTACCGTAATGTGGGTGGAATCCGACCATTTTCTGGGGCAGAATCTTACCGTCTGTGGGGACAGAATCCTACCGTCTGCTGGCACAGAATCCTACCATTTTCTGGAGCGATATCCTGCCGTCTCCTTGGGCAATCCTAGCGTTTTCTGAGGCGGAATCCTACTCTATTCTAGGACGGAATCCTACCCTATTCTGTGGCGGAATCCTACCCTATTCTCGGGCGGAATCTGTATATTATACTCAGTTCGCAATGTAAAAGTGGGTTGGCAATAGGAAAGGCATCCGAAATTGCCTGATAGCAACCGGGACACCAAGACATTAGGTCGTCACAGCTAACCCACCCATGCATGAAATACTGTATTGCTTTAAATTAGTGGTGATGATGATGTGCTGTATTATACAGTCATAGATGAAACACACATACTGTATACTGTATATATTGATGTAATGATATTCACACCTTACCTATATAGAAAATGCAATGAAAACTCTACTGCATGGGTGGCCAGGGCCCAGATGATGACCTGCAATACAGTACAGTGCAATTTTCAGGATATAAATAATGTGTGGAAGAAAAGAAATACACAAAATTTATTACTGTATTTATTTTTTACAAAAGTTATACATCTAGGTAGTCTATAATATGACATGCTAGGAACATAGATCTACCTTATTTACTTAACTTATTTTGATTATAACATAAAGTCATTGTACTGCAAAAATAAAACTATATTACTTCACAGTCAGTAATTTGATGCATTACTGGGAGAATTGATGATGTGAAATAGGTTTCAGTACGGTGTCATAAAGACATATAACTGAATGTAGGTGGGTGTACATGGGAAAAGAAGAAATTACTGATTGAAACACTAATACTGTAATGGAAGGGAACTGAGATGTCATGGCTTTGAGTGAAAAGAATTTGAAGGACAAAGGAAAATACATTAAGTTGGGGGACAGGTTAAAGGGTGTGAAGCTGGAAGAGTCTGAAAGGATTGCATCAACAGGTAGTATTGTTGAATGATGAAATGTGACATACAAGGTCACTCACAGATTATTATGGGTCACACAATAAATGGAGTATGAGAGCTGGATTACTGCTTGTGCATTCACCCCTACAAATAAAAGGGATGGAATCACTGGAAATATTACAGTAAGGTTGGGATGAGCATAGAGTGGATGACATGAGAGAAGGAAGGGTACAGGTACTAAAAGTATGGCAGAGAATATGAATAGTACTGTGTACAAAGGTGAAGGTAATATGAATTAATTTTGAAAAAATGGGGGAATAAATCTGCAGTATAACCTCAACAATTTATTCTCCACTAATTCAAATTACCAGCTGAATCATACAATTTTTGCGTGGGTGAAATATCTGAAAATTTAAAAAATTTCTGCCAATTATACAAACTATTTGAAGTTCTATGAAATTTATCCATGTGGTCCTAGTGGTCAGCAGGTTGGAACAAGCAGTTTCCCTTTGTA